CACTCCAGTTCTATTTTTCAGGATAGTTTGTTTTCAGTTGGTCATTTTGAGGTAAATATAAAGGCTATGTGAGACTTCATAAACAGTGTATGAAGTTACAACTCAGAAACAGGTAATTTTTTGGTCCTTTTGTTTCCGTTTCAGCATCCTGCCCTGAGGGGAGGGTGGAAGTGTTTAATGTCCTGCGCAGGGTAACATCTTTAAAATCGCGGTATTTAAGCAAGTGTAAGCCAGATGAGATGAGAATCGATCTAAGGGCTCCCCAATGAACATTTCTCTGGCATGCCTCCGGCAACTTTGAGGCTCCAGCTCCCTGAAGACATGTGATAAAAGGCATGTGAATATGCATAATTGTTCTCTGAGCCCTGCCTAAACTGAGACTCTGAAACATTTGTTTCTTCTGTCATCGAGGGACTGAGGACTTGCTTTGGTCAGAGGCAACAGTACTTCTGTTATGGTGATCTGCATGCTTGCAGTTTCTGATGCAGTTTCACACTCGGTCTTTAAGGGAACCTTTGTACAGAAAGGCCCCAGATGTGCAGCCTGATGCCGAGCCTGTAAATCTATCACTGTATGTACAGGTATTTTTAGCATGTTCATCCCTGGTGTGCGTGCCTAAAGTCAAGGTGCAAGAGTCTGTTGCTTCAGTTTGTGTAGCGCTTTGCATGCAACCTGAATCACAGATCACCTTGATGGAGGACCACGTTGATACCAGTCTATTAGGGAATCAAGAAAGGTGATAACTGTTGGTTTCCTATCCAGATTCCAGTTTTCAGTACTTTTAGCCTGCCTCCATATCTTTCCCTGTTGTGTAGAAGACAGTGGATCATCAGCTCCTTTTGTATCTTGGTAGGGTTGCAGAGATGCTCAGAGGAGTCCCTTCTGCCCCAGCAGTTGGAAGTGTGGGACAGTCCATGTCATGAACAGCCACATGTGGCCCTTCTCTGGCCACCCCCACTTATGGCTCTTGCTGAGTTTGATGGGGCTGTGCACAGCTCCAGTGGCTGTGGTGATGGCACTTTGGGGCTCACAGGATGAAATGCAAATTGTTGTTACGGTGAGTAAATTAAAGCATGGAGTTAAAATTTGAGTTTGTATAGCACTTAGCATAATGGGGCCTGGCATGCCCATGGCCTTTAGGCAGCTTCACCATGTAAATGTTTCTAAGTCCAATAATCCTCATTAAATATGTTTTTAATGCCCAGTGGCTATTAAAAAGGTAAAGCCACCCATATGTGAATCAGTTGACCCACAAAACCCTTCCTTGGTGCATATCACTGCTAGGAGCTGCTTTGCTGCCCTGTTTTCTCTCCACTATCCTAATTCAGAGAAGCAACAAGGCAGTGGTAAAGCAACGCTGCTGGCTGTGCTCAGCACTTCCTGATCTGGTGTAGAGTCTTCAAACTTTGAAGAAACCAAGGAGGTATGTGGGCCTCATGATGAGTTAGCAAGTTCTCCTGATTTGCTCTTCTGGCTTCTTGTGGCCTGAAGGTTTTCCAGAGACTCTCTTCTCTGTCTGGAGCATCCAGATGATATTGAGTGTCTAAGGGTGGCTGTCATGAGGCTGAGGACAATTTTCTGCTGTCTCTGACAGGGTGCACCTGGCTGTGTGATCCAGTTTAGCTCCAGAAATCTACTGGTTGATAGCATTTCACTTTAGTCTGGTGATACTTTTTATCCCTTTACTGTTTGTTTTTTTCTCTGTATCAGTTTTTGCACTAGGCTGATCTTTTCAAGTCGATTGCACTGTTGTCCCTCTCTCCTGTCAGCCTTGCAGAGATGGGTCATCTCCAGGGACCTGTGGGCTGGGGAGCACTGTAAAGAGCTGGGTAGCCCACTTACTCTTGTTCAGTGCTTGCGTTTCCAGCTCTGCACAGGGAGGAAGAAAAACTTTGTCTTAGCATTTGTAACAGGAAGCTTTTCTATCACCTTAATGTAGTTAAACTTCTTTTTAACAAAAACTGTTAAAGCTGGACTTCTCAGAGTGGTGTGCCAGGCGACAGAGCAGATACAGGAGACAAAGCAATTCCTGGAAAACTGTTTGCCACCTACTCGGACATCACCATAGTTCCATCTGCCAAACGTTTGATCGCAGTGACACCTGGTGGCTGTTGGGAGTTAGAGACGAAAAATAATAAACTCCCCAAAGTTTACCCTCTTTTAGCTCTGGATATTTGTTTCCTGTGACTTGCCTAGGACAGTCACCTGCTTTATTCATAAAGGGCTGCAGGACTTGCCTATGAGCAGAGGGGCTCTCATCAGGCATGTCAGAGATGGCTTGTGTGAGGACATGTCTGCAAAACAGTGAGATGGCACATGTTCTGGAGTCACCGGTGTGGAGAACCTGGGTAGCAATACAGAGTCTCCATTACAGCTCAATACAGCTCCATTTTCCTGCTTTGTCCTCCACTTGCCTCCTCTGCTCCTTGGGACCACAGCTAGAAGGCAGAAACTCTGGCTTGAAGTGAAGGTGGTTCTTCAGAGAGAGCACTGGGTGCTGGTGTGAGGAGTGCACGCCTTGGGGAACGTCAGTGATGGCATCATCGGGAGGTACAGCCAAGATCAGAGTGGCTCTCTGTTTGTGGGATGGTGGCCAGATGCGGTCTGGGATGGCCAAGCTACAGATTACTCCGAGATGTTGCCCAGATGTCTGGAACAGCATCTGTAATGTGGAGTCTAACATGTTCCAGGACCCTGCATCCTGCACACTGCCTTGTGGTGGGTATGGTGGAAAGAAACAATGAGAAGTGACCCAGTAACTGTGCTGTGGAGTATGTAATGCAGGTTCAGTTCAAGATACCACTTTAAGGATCCCTCTGGCACATAATACAGTGTGAAATGAAGGTATGTTATCCTATGGATTGTTGCAAGTCTATATGACCTTAGAGCATTGCAGCAGGGTCCCACGGCAGCCACTGCTGTCAGCAACTCGTCTGTTCCCATCTGCCTTTGCAGCCACACAGGAGCACATCTCTCCTTCACAGAGAGAGTTTGGGGCAGCTGGAACAGAGACAACAAGCTCCTTCATCTGTGCTGGCTCATGAGAGTCTCGTGGGCTCATCTCAGCTGACAGCCAGGCTCCCAGCCGTTCTTCTCAACACCTTCATTCCTGTTGGACCTAAACTGTCTGCAAGCCCTGGCCACTGCTTGGGATTGCTTAGAAACACTCGTGTCTGGCCCTGGAAGTAACAGGGTTGTGGTTTTGTTTTCTTTGCAATAAAATGCACCTACTGGGTGTCTGAACACTGACCCGAGTGCAGTGCTTTGCTTGGCTAGATCTGCTTGAATTCACATGTGTTGCATCTGGTAACTCACTGTCAGCCAAGGTCCCCCTGCTGAAATGGGGCTGGTCAGCCTGCCCCCCCCTTCCCCACTGTTCACTGCTTAATTCTCGCATCGCAGGTTTCTGTGGAAGCCCTGAGCTGTGCCAGGTTCCCAGGCTGTGGGAAAGTGGCTTCCCCCCCTGGGCTGCCCTACCCAATACCCACAGGACCAGCCCAAGACCTATCTTTCCTGCTTGGGTGGCTTAGCACGAGCCTCTGTTCTAGAGCAGAGCCCCTGCATGTGTGCCCAGCCCTGTGCCATGTGTGTCCCATCTAGGTCCCCCCCATCCCACACCTGCTCCAGAGCTGGACCCCACAGAGAATCACAAAATTGTTAGCAGTGAAAGGGACCTCTGGAGATCATCTAGTCCAACCCCTCTGCCAAGGCAGGGTCACCTAAACCAGGTTACACAGGAACATATCTGTGTGGGTTTTGCATGTGTCCGGAGAGGGAGACTCCAGGCCCTCCCTGGGCAGCTGTTCCAGTGCTCTGCCGCCCTCAATGGAAAGAACTTCTTCCTCCTGTTGAGGTGAAACTTACTGTTTTTTAGTTTATGGCTATTGCTCCTCCTCATGTCGCTGGGCACCACCGAAAAGAGTCTGGCATCATCCTCTTGGCACTCACCTTGGGGATATTTATATGAATTAATGAGATCCCCTCTCATTACAGCTGCAGAGGTGGCCCAGAGAGAGCCCTGCCATGTGGTTCCAGACCACCTCCCATCCACGTCCTGGACCGGGTCCCCTCCTCGGCTGTGTCCCGGATCAGCCCCCATTCCCGGGGCCGCCGCGTTCCACGCGTGTCCGGGGCCGGCCCGGGCTGCGGTTGGTCCTCCGTGCCGCAGGGGGGCGCTGCGGGGCGCTGCGCTGGGCCCTGCGGGCGGTGGCTCCGCCGTGTTTACATCGCCCGGCGCTCCCGCCCCGCCGCCGCTGCCCCCTGGCCCGGCCCGGCCCGGCCCGCTCCCCGCGGCCGCTCCTCCGCCCTCCGCGTCAATGCGGCGCCGCCGCCCCGCCGCCTGTCCCGGCCATGGACACCAGCGACCTGTTCACCAGCTGCAAGAAGGGCGACGTGAGCCGCGTGCGGTGAGCGGGGCCGGGCGGGGAGCGGGTCCCGGCGTCCCCCCCGTACCGACCGCCGGTCACCCGGGCTGCGGGGCTGGGCCTGCCGGGGCGGGCAGGCCTCGCCGGGACGGGTTTACCTGAAGCCCCACCAGGCCTCCCCGGCGCTTCTGGCAGCCTCGGGGAGAGCCGTTTGCTTCTTTACACGTCAGTGCACCTTGCACCCCGCGGAGCTGCGTGTGCATCGGGGCTTTGCTGTGTGCTTCGGTTTGTGCGGGGTCTCTGCCAGGTGTCCGAGTGTCAGACGGGTCACTGCGTACCCGCGGGTGTGAATGCTGCTGCCAGCGGCAAATGTCCTTGCACAAGGCTCCTCTCTTCAGCTGCTGTTTCTCTACTCAGACGGTGTTTGGGTTGGGAGGAAGCTGGATCCCTGGGAAGCAATCGTCGTGGCAATGTTTAGGCACCTTGTGGTGTAGAGTGTGGGAGAATCTCTGAGAAATACTGGGATGCCAAATTTCAAGTCAAGTGTCCCTGCTCACGTCAAAGCAGCGCGGCTCAGCTGTAGTGATTTTGGATCGGGAAACATGGGCTTGATGTCTGCAGGGTGAAGGGTTGTGGTCATGCAAAGGCCCAGGGTTTACAACAGACTCTTCTGCATCTCATGGGTTGAGTGTTGTAAGACTTTCCTTCACCTTTTTATTCTACTTGATTTTTCCATCTACCAATGTGTGGATCTTTCCAGATAATCAGAAGGAGCCTGTTTCAAGATGCTTGCTAATGCAGGGCAAGTGTGCGGATAGATGAGATCTGGGGGACATTGTTATCCGATGTAATCATGCAAGCGGTAAATTGCTTGTAGTTTGCAGCAGAAAAAAGGGTCTGGGGGGTGGCCTTGCAGAGGTTTAAGATGACCAGTGTAGAAGTGATAATGGAAAAATGGTTTGTCTGAAAATGCTGTCAAAGCAGGGGGGACATGTGGGACTGAGTAGAAAGGAGCTGAGTTGATTGGGACTTTGGATGTGGTCAGAGGAACCTGGCGTTTGAGACCGGAAAGATGAAGGGAGTGAAAGGGAGGACTGATGTGGTGGGTGATAAAAAAGCCAAAACTTGAGAATCTTTATGAAAGCTGAGAGGGACTTCTATGTGTGGTTAGCAGAGGTTGTTGCAGTAGTTGGGGACAGGCTCTAACAAGGCTCAGGGTGTGTAGGAGATTTGTCTGCAAGGCAAAGCCTAGCTTCTAGAAATGCCAGAGAGGGAGTGTTGGCAGCATTTGATCTATCCTAAATCTACAGGACGAGGAAGTGGCGGGAAGTCAGTGGAGTGACACTTGGTGCTATCGCTTGTGTCAGGAAGCCAGAAGCAGGATGGGAGTCCAGCTTTGGCCTTGTGGAATTAACCACTTATTTGTAAGCATCCAGGCTGTGAACACAGTTGGAGAAAGAGAAGTTAAACTGCTCAGGCTTCTTTTGTGATTGCTGACCTGTTGGGGGTGGGTTTGATTCCATTCTTTCCCCATGTGCACCACTTAAGATTGAAGGCAGCTGCCAGACCATGCTGCAGAACACCATTCTTTGGGTTGAAGGTTTGACTGATGCCCCTTCAGCTGTAGCTGACAGCTCCCCAAATCCAATGCAAGACCCCGTCATTACCTTTGGAAGTTACTGTATGAACTCAGAGTTACATTTCGGAAAGAGGGGAATGTGACTGAGGAGCTGCATGAAGTTGTAACTTTGCTCTCCCTTTTCTTCCAGATACCTTCTTGAACAGCGAGATGTGGAAATTAATGTCCGTGATAAATGGGACAGCACCCCCCTGTGAGTGCTGCAGCCTGGAGCGCTGGCTGGGTGGGGTGTAGGGCCTACAGAGCTCCTTTGCTCTCTCAGCAGCAGCAGCCGCGATCACTGTTACAAAATGTCTCAGGTTCTGCTTTTCGGGAGCTTTGGCTACATAGTTCTGCTTCTCTTTTCTGCCAGTGCTGTGCTAAATATGTCTTTGTCTCCCCATCTGATTGACACTTCCTGTAGTGATGCTCAGTGGTTCATTTTGTGACCAAATTACCTGGATTAAGCACTCTGTTCTTGGCTAGATTAGGCTATTTCCCCATCGAAGTCTATGTTATTCTAGTATGCCTTTTCAGGTGAAGGCTTGGCTTGATGAAATGCAAAATGACTGGAAGATCACAGTGTGTCTGGCAAGGCTCTGAACATGCAGTAGAAGAAGAAGAATCCCTGTGCAGGTGCTGAGGAGCAGGGTGTGAGCTTTGTAGCTCCCCACAACTCCAAAGTGCATTTAGACATCTGCAGTATATTTAGAGTACAGAATAACTTCCAAAGTAAATGTAGACTAACATTTGGCTGCTGCAATGCACATTACAGGATTCTCCTAATTTATAGGACTGTTTGAGGTGCTTGTGAAGGAGAATCATGGAAAGCTCAGACCACAAAAGAGAAAACAAAACTCAGCCTAAGTAGGACTTAGAGGAGTGGATTTGCTGTACATCCAGTGTGAGTGCTGTTCCCTCCTCATCACAGTGTGCAGCAGTCAGACAGCAGAAGGAGCAAGAAGTGTTTTTGAGAATTCAGTAGAAATGCTGAGTGCTTGTGAAATGGTCTCCATTAAAATGAGGATGAATTTGGCAGCTGGTGGTGCAGCAGAAGATGCAGGACCTAGATTGGGACCTTGAGATCTCCTTGCAGTGCCCAGGAGTGCTGAGAACAGATCCTGCTTAGTCTGTTGCTGGGATCAGACTCCTGTGCTATTCAGTAGCAACCCCTTACTCCTCTTAGGAGTCATCTTCTAAGCTTCTCAGGGATGCTCTCATTGCTGTGGTGTGTGTGCCCTGATGTGCCTAGATACTGAATTTTGCTTCCTACTGTATCTGATTGTCTTTCTCTTGTTATTGTCAGGTATTATGCCTGCCTGTGTGGACATGAGGAGCTTGTACGCTATCTTTTAGCCAATGGTGAGCAAAACTGTCCTGATTATGGGTGCAGTATCTTTATCCATATCGGTCCATTGGGATTGGATATCCTTCTAGCTGTCCCTAGTGGAAACTTCTTCTGTTACCACCAACCATATGATCAGCGATCTCAGGCTGCAGTAGGAGTCCAGGACACACTTTCATGGTCCCTTTTGCAGACCATTTGCTGCTTGAATTTGCTTCTTGAAATTGAAATTTCTTGATTTGCTTGAAATCTTGAAAATGCACAGAAAGGGAAGCTTTCTTGTGGTGGCTCAAGGCAGCATGCCTTTCTGAAATCACAGCTGGTGTTTTTTGAGGGTGCATTGCTGTTGGGAGTATGCTGATGTAAGGGTTGTACTTCCTATGAAGAATTGCCTGTGTAAAATTTTCTTGTACTGTTCTGATAGTCTGGCTTTGTAAGAAGGATTTAAAGGTGAAATGCAAGGGATTTTGCTAATCTCAAACACAGCAAGGCAACTAATCCAGGCCAAGTGCCTGCCCATTTGGTTCCCAGCACTAAAATTCCCTTGCGTAGTGGTGGTGATCTGGCAGAGAAATCAGAGTGCAGAGTCAGATCTCAAAAGGTTTTTTTTTTATTGCATTCAAAGCATCTTAATCAACCAGTTGTGCAATTCTAAAATAGCAAAATGCAAATGCCCTCCAAATTTCTAGCAGAGTCTAAGCTATAGAGGCATCTTCTGCCTTATACAAAGCAGAAATGCTTTTTAGGAGGAGCTGTTAACAGTCCAGGAAGTGATCATACTCTTTGTAAAGTAAGATCTGTCTTCCCAGAGCACTGCTGGAGCCATGCTGAGAGGCTTAGTACCCAGGTCATTTTATGACAAATGAGTCATGACATTTTCAGAAAGAGATTTGGCTGTGGGACAACAGCTTGAGGTTGTACACACGTGAGGGAAGCTTAGTTTTTGTAGATATGCTCAGCAGCACAGGAGATCACAGTGAAACGTGTCACCAGACAAAAGTCACGCTCCTTTAGTGAGCACCTGGGGACGCTTGAGGAGGATTTAGCTGTACATACCTGTGGTGGTTTTGCAGGAGCGAAATGTGAGGCCAACACTTTTGACGGGGAGCGGTGTTTGTATGGAGCCCTGAGTGACGCCATCCGACGCCTGCTGAAGGAGTACAAACAGATCACAGCAAAGTGCATGAGGAGAGACTACTATGATGTCTTCCTGCAGAGGTAAGCAGATAAGGCATGGGCAGAGCATTCCATCATCCTTCCTTAGCTGCTAACCTGTTTGGGGGCAACTAGTTCCACTTTAAAATCTGTTCCCTGCATTCAGGTGGTCCCCTGAGGCAGGAAGGTTTCTTTCTCCAGCCTTTTTGCACTAATAAAACTTCTTTGAGTCATCAAAGGGAGGGACAGATCCCAGTCTAGTGTATGAAGTACCAGCCCCAGTGCTGGCCTTCGCACTGGTCAGGGAGAGACTGCAATGCCCAGAAGTATTTGTTCATTTAGACCTGATTGTACCATGTCCCCCACTAGCTTTACTCCATTCTCTCCCGTCTCATTCTCTCTCTGTCCCTCACAGGTTGCTGGAGCAGGGTTACCAAAGCGACATTGTCTTCATTGTTCACGGCAAATCCTTCTGTGCCCATCGCTGCATCCTCAGCGCTCGCAGCGCCTACTTTGCAGAGATGTTTGAGACCAAATGGAAGGGGAAAAATATGATAGTGTTGAAGCATCCACTGGTGAGCAGGATTGTTTTTCCACTTCTTTCCTTTCTTTTGCTGTTCCAACTGCCTGAGAAAAGTGAGTAGGAAAGACAGTTTGAGGGTTAACTTCCACAGTGAGTAGCTCCTGGAGCTCAGAATGGCCCAAGTTGAGGAGAAGGGCTTTATGCGGTAAATAGCATCTTATGTAGATAAAAAAAGGCTGCAGACTGCATACTTTCCCTTTGTTCTTTCTGTCACATATCTTAATTGCAGTACCAGGTAGTTGTTACCATCTGCCAGCTCCATCACAACCCCTCTGTGAGATTAGTTGGGTCTGTCCAAATCCTGGTGGACAGGTGGTCTGTGGTGAAGACATCACCTCCATAATTGGTACTAATTGAGTCCCTTTTGTTGTCTTTGCAGTAATAACTAAATAGGCCATAAGTACATTCTATCCATTAATCACCAACACTCCAGCACACATTTCTGTACCTTGACTCTGACGTGCAAAACCTCCTCTAACAAACATACTTCCAGTTTCTCTGGACGTTGCTCTCCTTTCTCTTTGTGCAAGAACATGTCTTTCCTCTCATATTAAGAAGGGGTAGAAATGTTTATGACCAGTGAAAAGCTGGATTTTACAGAGCCTGTATTACAACCATGTCTTTGGAGCACCTCCATTAGTCAACTCCTGTCCCATGAGACACTTACGGGATTACTATCAGTTGATACAGTGAAGGGCTGTGTAAGTCAGATGGAGTGGCAGCATGAGGAGCAAGGAAATTGGGTGCAGTGTGTGAGTTGTTATTTAAGTCGGTTTTTTTTGACTGTTCAAGATCGTGTTTCAAGCTTGTTGTTAAGTTTCTGGGAATTCTAATGGCAACTTTCTCATGGTGTTTTTTTTGTTTGTTTTTGTTTTGTTGGTTTTTTTTTTTTTTTTTTTTTTTTTTAGATTAATCCAGCAGCCTTTGGTGCTCTTCTGCAGTATCTATACACAGGTAAATGACTTACCCTCTAGTGTATGTGTTCATGGCTGGAGGGCAGCTGTCTGTGCCCCTGCCATAGCACTGTTTGAGTGGCCCAGGCTGCCCTTGGCTATGTTTGGGTGCACCAGTCACCAGCACATCCTCCCTGCTGGCAGAAGGGGAGAATGTGAGCAGTCACCAGCTCTTCCAACTTGTCTGTACCTTTTGCCAGTTGTTTTCCTGCCAGTGACTATACAGTCAATTAAAAACAAAATCAGCTTAGGTTGATTGGTTGGGTGGATTTGGAGAATGTATTTTTAACTTAAGGAAGGTAAAGCCAAGTTCCCACATAAAACATTTTCAGTCTGGCAGGCCTGAGCAGTGTGTGCTGAATGCTTTGACTACTCTCTAGAATTTTGTTTTGAACAGAAGTTGATCCCAAACCTTCTCTGAAAATGCTTAATGTTGTATTGTAGGTATGCTAAATGCTAAACTACCTCAGGCCAGGAGGGGGTGCCAGAAAATAATGTTTTCTGCAAGGTTCTCCTTCCCCAGTCCAGTGTGTTCAGAAATGTTCCTTGACATGTCTTCTGTGATTGTAAAAGATTCTGGGATGACAACTTAAGAGCATAAAGTCTTCTCTTACCCAAAGCCAGGCAGCCAGTGGTGGCAGTCATGCCTGCTGCTGTTGTGCTGCTATTTTTTTCTTTTCTGAGGGAATTAGGCATGCTTTGTATAGCCTGTTTGGTCTTTGTACTCTTGAATGAAGCTGTTAGGATAAGCCCTGGAAAGTGGGAATGTGAATTAAATGCCAAACTGCAATTACTAAGTGGTGGGTGCTGAGGTACCAAGTCTTAGCATCTGGGACTGAGTCTCAACTCAGCTGAAAAGTGAGGCAATGTAACTACTTAATTTCTGTGCCATCAAGTCTTCAGACTAATTTTTTGCCATTTTTACCCCTAAGTCCATGGGTTAAAAGAGCTGACTGCATTCCCTCTTGACAGGTCGTCTTGATATCGACGTAGAATATGTCAATGATTGCAAGAGGTTAGCCAAGCAGTGTCGGCTGCAGGACCTCATTGATGATTTGGAGACCAA